GGGGGGCACGGAACACCTTTATGTTCATTTCCCAAACACATTTTTCCTGAAAGGTATTGATCAAAGGCAGTTCAAACTTGTGTTTTACAAGGAAACTCAAGCTTTGAAAGTCAAAATGATTCGGTAACCACTTTCTTGCTAATTTTACCTCTGACACAAGGTAACCCCGACATACAGATATTTTGATAAATATTTCGATTTCTAATCAAGATACTTAAAAGGGAAAGATTCGTATTTAAGCTCCATAGATTATTCAAAGGATTTCGATAAAGTTAGACAGAATAAGCTGTTGAAAATATTTTAAGAGCTAGACATAAATGGAAATGATCTAAGAATTATCAGGAATTTGTACTTGGACCAAAACACTGCTGTAAGAATTAATGGAAAATACAGTGAATACAATCAGATTAAAATAGGAGTGAGTCAAGGATGCGTTATGTCACCAGACCTCTTTAACATAATATACAGCGAAATGATCCATAGAAATATAGAAAATATGTCTAGGTTTTAAACATAATGACCAACTTATTCATTAATTACATCAGATAATAATATGCCGATGACACAGTTTTAATAGCAGATTTAGAAAAGGATCCACAATTGTTTCCAGATACTGTAGTTACGGAAAATGAAGGCAAAGGGTTATTGTCAAACCTGAAGAAAACAGAACACACAGTCATCTCCAAAAAAGTTTGAATCTTATTTTGATGTAATAAACGTAGGCAAAGAGGCCGTACAATTTCAACAGTTTAAATATAGAATAACATCTGATGCGAAATGTTCCACAAAAATCAAACGAATAACTGAAGTGGTTTACTATTGCTTCAATAAAATGATCCCAATCAGAAAAAAACTTGAACATTTAAAAGAAAACCAAAATGGACGCTCTGAAATGCTGTGTATGGTCCACCTTTCAAAACGGTTGGAAATGCTGGACATTAAAGTGGAAATAAATAAATAGAAGAACCAAAAATGGTTTCTTGAAAGACTGTTTAGAATTTCATGAAAAGGAAAAGAAATCAAATCAGGTAGAAGCCCTCGTGGGCTGCTTGCTATTAAAAATAATCAGGAAAAGACAAATGCAGTTTAAGGGACACTTGAATAGACTTAAAAGGTTTAGATATCTAGCTCTCACTGGCGAAATTGAAGGTCATAGCCCAATGGGGCCAAACACTGACGAGCGTCCGATTCAACCGTATCCTGACATTTTTGTTTCTCACTTTGGCAAACTCGGCAGGGGTAATCACGCCATCTCCGTTCTGGTCGTTTGTCCTAATGAGGTTGTCGAAAGCTTGCTCAAACGTCATCTGTCTCTGGAATTGTGACAGCACGGGCAAGGCGAGGGAAGGTCCCAGGTGTTGGCTAGCGACGTTCAGGGTGTAGTTGAAGCAGGAGTAGTAACATCCTAGAGCGGGGAGACTGCAGGCACGGGGGAGTTGGCTGGGGGATGGGGGGTGTGGTTTATTGGTTTGTGGTTATGCATTTTTTAATTGTAATATTTTCAAAGAGGTTCAAGCGATTCTAAATAACCAGAATGTGCAACCTCAATAAGTTGAAAATTTAATATCATAGAACAATGAACTCTTTTGGATGAAGAGAAAACAAAATGAAATTTCTGTTGCAATCGTCACTGCTATTGTAGAGAGTAGAGTTTTCTTACACAGTAAAGCAAAGAAACGATCAATTTTTTTTAAAACAGCAAGAAAAAAAATCAACGAAAACAAAATTCTACAAATGTAAAAGCTTTTAAAAATGAAATGAAGGTGTCAAGTGAAAAACCGGCTAAGTCTCAATAACCCTTCAACTTCTTAGTTTATTTTTCACTTTTTAAAATGAAACTTGCTTGATCCAAGCTCGATGTGTGTTTACAAAATTTTAGTTTGAGAATGACTTAGTCGGTTTGTCCTGTGACAAATTTCGTGAAGAAGTGTGTTAAGAGCCATGCAGTACACTTTAGAGGTGTCGGTTAGGCTTAACTGTAAGGTCGCAGATTTCCCAAAGCCAAGAAGTATTTTTAACAGATGTCAAGTCAGTACTGCAAGCAATCACTGCCGCCAGGCTACCAAGGCTACGAGAAGCAATTGAGGACATCCCAAGCCTGAGGATTATGCTGCAATGGATTCCATTACACTAGGAAATGAACAGACAGACAGGATGGCCAAACTAGGCGCAAAGAACAAGCAACCACACAATAGCGTCAACTACACAGAAATAAAAACTATTATAAATACACTATTTAAAGCAGCTCAGACACCAGACGGCTACCATGAGCTGTCCCGCCAAGAACAAGTGAATTTCTTCCGACTTAGAACACAACACACAAGACTGAGACAACATATTATTATTACTATGTACAGATGTTTCCAACCAGTACAATCCCCAAAATGCCAGTGTGGAGGGGCGGAGCAAACAGTGGAACACATCCTTCTGCACTGCAAAACACACAGGGCCCTGAGACAGGAAACATGGCCAACCCCATTGACACAACAAGAGAAGCTATACGGGATAATAATTATTATAACTACCATTTGTATAGCGCATACCCCCGTTCGACAACAAGCTCTAAGCAACTTACACTGTTATTACCCCAGCAGATAGCAAATAGCAGATAGATATTATCATCCTGTTTTCCCCAAGACCCCAGTTCTACATTCAAGTATTCAAGTACCCCTGAGACTCTATAACACTCAGAAATATTCTCGGCTTCCCGGGAAGCGCGCAGTGCTCACCGACGATTAAGCGCTAAAACACTAACAAACTGACAAGATCTTTCACTGTCTATAGCCGGGCACCAAATTCCCACCAGGGTCAAGTGAGGAAAATATGTACTAAGTGCCTTTCCCAAGGACACAAAGTTGGGCCCCTGACCGGATTCGAACCAACGACCTTACGGTTGCGAGTCCAAGAGCCTAACCACTAGGCCATGAAATAGAAAGTAATGAGTTCGTTA